ACTGGAACCTCCTGCATTCATTGATTAAAATTTCAGACTGGGACAACTTTTTTTCATGTAATAGTCTCATGGATGCTATCGACGAATTCTATCTGATCATTAACTCTTGTTTAGATTCCAGTGTACCTCTTAAAACGTACAGGTTTAGTAAACCTTACGAATTATACATACCAGCTAAATATCGCAATAAAATAAGACGCCTATAGAATCGTTATTTTAAGTCAAACGACTTCACAGCAGTTGCACAAATAACAATAATTTTTAATCAAATTAAAGAGAAACATAGATTAAAAGCCATTAATGAGAAGGTGTTAGCCCTTAATACTAACTCGAAAGTACAAACTTAACTCTCCTTTTTCAATAAACGCACTAAAGCAACTCGAAATGTTGATATACCGTGCATCCAGCATAATAGCACTTTTATATACGACTCTGAAACCATGGTCGACTTTTTCAGTAGTATATTCGCGAATAGTGTAGAAAACATAAGTGGCTATGCTTCAAGAGTTATGTGCGTGACTAGCAACTCAATAAAATCTATCTCATTCACATGCATGAAAATTAATAAGGCTATAAATACCCTTAAGCTTTCGAAAGGTCATGGAGTAGACGTGATTTCATCAGTTCTCTACAAATATGGTGGTCCAGATATTACACTTCTTCTTCTCAAGCTGTTTACTCTCTCTATGGAAACCGGTTCTTACCCTTACTGTTGGAAAACCGCGTACATCATACCACGTGACAAATCTGGAGATAAGACTTACATGAACAATTACCGGCCAATAAATATTACTCCAGTTATTTCTAGGATTATGGAAAAAATTATAAGTGATGAACTTTCCAACTATTTATTTGCTGGAAAATTTATCAATGATAATCAACATGGATTTCTTTAAAATCGACCTTGCATGACATGTCATTTTGACTTCTTTAGTTTAGTTTATTCTCTACGTAGACAAGGATATCTAGTCTTAGTGCTATATCTGGACATTTCTAAAGCCTTTGGCATGATTATCCACCAACTTCTTATAGGTAGGCTCGCATCTTATGGGGTTCAAAATCCTTTGCTTGCTTGGCTTGATTCTTTTCTCAGCAATCGATACCAAATAGTTAAAATTAACTCTTCATTGTTTAATGCTGTCCCTGTTAGGAGTGGTGTAATAAAAGGTAGTGTCTTAGGCCCTTTTTTGTGTTTATCAATGATATTTGTGAAAGTTTTTGTGTCGGTAAGCCCCTTCTATATGCAGATGATCTTTAAGTAGTGTATTCGTTTTCTCCACATGAGCTGAAAAATATGCAAAATTTCATCAGTATGAAGTTTAACAAGGTAGCACAGTGGTGCTTAAAATGGCAACTAGAGCTTAATACTGCTAAATGTGGATGGATATGCTTTGGCGATACACCACTCAACCTAGACATTACCATAAATGGAGAATTGTTATCTAGGTTACATACAGTTTTAGAACTTAGATAATCCCAAGACTTGTCGTTCACAGAACAGATATTAAAACAGACCTCTAAGTCTCAACGTTTAATAGGTTATATAACTCGAAACCTTTACAACAATGAGTCACGTATTCTAATGTACAAAGTTTGTGCTAGACCTCTTCTAGAATATTCCACGTTTATTCTTAGCAGTGCGTGCATAAAGGATAAATTAAGGCTGGAATCAGTACAGAAATTATTTAAACTTCGTATTCTTGGAGCTGATTGTACCTTAACTTATAATACTAGATGTAATGTCCGTGGGCTAGACCTTTTATGGAGGAGGAAACTCAAACTAAATCTTATCTTTTTCTTCAAACTACATCATAAACTATCGTTTACATCCAATCACGCGATTCAATATGTAGAAACTTCTCATTATGAAATCCGTAGTTCCTTGGCACTAGTGAGACAAATTGTTGTGGATGCGAAGGATAGACCAATAATTATCATGTTAAGTCCAATGGTGTCCTTTGACTTTAAATGGACATTTCCTACTGGTCGATATCTGTCCACTTGTTGAATATGGTACAAAATGTTGTTTTCTATTTTTATGGTACGATGTGGTATGTTTGGTTAGTATATAAATAGAGTATGTCTGAAATACAATGATTCATAACTCAGAGACTGAGATTTGCGTTCTGGACTAAACTGGCTGGGATAGACAGGGAATCGGGACCAATCGTAACTCTAGGTCGTCCATTACGTTCGTACGTGTTTACGTGTCATTGAATCGGTCGATAAATACGCTGTTCTCTGGTTTTTACAGTCAAGGACAGAACAATTAGCCCAGGGTATAAATCAACCACAACTTAAAGTCATAACACAAACTCATTCCAAATCATCTCTTTATATGAATTACTTCACCTGTAAATTTTCTAGACTCTGAGATAACCTACCAGAATCTATCCGCACGACAAAATCACTCACATTATTTGTTCGCTGCATTGATGCATACTGCTTCTCTGAAAATGTATTGAATGGTCTAGCGTCTTTAAGTGTATCCCATTCCACAAGTGATATTTTAGGAACCTTAAATGTTTAGCCATCTTTATTAGTGCATTCCCTAAGTAAAACCACCCACTTGCTGTCACTTTATGTTAACACCATCCCTAGGAAGTTTAACTAATTTGAATAACATCAACAGTATATCACTGTGTCACATGATACACGCATTTAGGTAGACCTGACTCATATATTTTGGTAATTACTTTTTTGTTGTTCCGTGTCCTCTGTTTTCGTTTTATTTTCTCAAGTTGTAGATAATTATCATTATTTCGATCTGGTACACGAATTGACCTTAATTACACCATTCATAAATCAACAGGCTGTCAATTTCAGAAATATTAAAAATTCCCGGCTGATGCTTTGGATCGCTGTAATATATGTACTACTTAAACAAATACTGAACTAGTATACTTAAAACTTGTTTTATCACATGTTTGTTCTACATGTCTAACGTTATTACTTATGTCAAATTGATCATGTCTGTAAACTGGCTTGAGTTCTGTAATTATTATTTTTCAGAATATAAATTATTATTTTGTGAGTTACATAAATTATTCGATTTGTGTGGGGGCTGGGATAACGCCCGAGTGCTCAAACTGAAGCATGTGATTTTCTTCGGGGACCACACTTCGAACCCTTGTGATGCAGTCCCATGGTAGCCGGTTCATTGGCCACCTGTTTCCTTGAAATCCTGGAGCCCACGTGCACCATCAGAATATTCCAGCTCTCCGAGGTGGATCCCTCATATCCACGAACCCGGTTAAAGCGGCAAACATTCGCTTTCTATCCTCTCAGTTTCATAGTCAACACCCCCGCAGTGAATAAGACTTCCCTGGCAGTGGTTGTATGCGTGTGGCTAGGTGAGAGCATTTCGAGAAGTAGAACGGACTCTTCCCACCCCTCAGTACCAAGACATTTGAGGGATCGTTGTTGAAAATATGATACATGGCATCATTAGATCAATTTTACAAATTACGTCGTGGGTGAAAGCAAGCTTAGAATTGGAAAGAAGGAAATCCGCCATCAGTATGCAACGTGTGTCTATCTGTAGTGTATGTCTGTATGTTTTGGTCATCGAAGAAGGCCGAAAGATTATGGGCAGAGACGACTCGCATATGCATTACACGTGTCCATACTTCTATTACTGTGACACCCTATGATTACTGGAATTGGTTGCAAGAAGGCGAGGGGTGCAACGTTCTGTTTTCTTTGGTAATGTATACATGGACCCGCGTCTGTAAATTATTCAAGAAAATAACAGAAACGTGAAGTGTATTCCTCCTTTATTTTACTTATTACATGTGAACCATATGCTAAGACACTCACATTTCATGGATTTCTTATGATGGTCAACCTGATAAATCAAAGCATCGGATTTACAAATTTGTTCAGTGAAATATGAAACAACATTTACACCAGGTTTCCATTCACATTGATAACGTTATGCTGCAGTCGCTTTTATGTTTCTCAAGAACTAAAAAAGTCATTCGTCGACTATGAGAATGATTGTGAAACTAAAGTGAACGTCCAGCTCGCTTTTTAGGGACAAGGTAGAAGGTGCTATCCGTAGATTGTTTCATAGTACCATAGTTCTGACGATGAAACAGTTTGTATGGAGATCTGTGAGGGCTCACTCATGCAGTAAAGGCCTTGGTCAAAAATATAAAATAACCCAATAAACGAACTACATAATTTTAAGCAAAGAAGATTCTATATAATTGTGATATATTAACATGTTCATGAAAACTAGTTAACACCCTGAACAAAGCGTAATATATGCGTAATACCGTATTTTACGGCTTTTACTATTTTGTTCCCATTTATGTATTCTAATTTATTCGCGTCTCGTTTTACAGGAAGATATACGACGAGAGTTGGTCTCTGATGAACTGGAACTTCTCATTATTAAAAATATTTTTAATGTTGATCCACAGCCAGCTGCATTTAGTTAAAACGTACAATACTCCACTACCAGGACGGTATACTGCTGTTTTCCTGCGAAGTAAAAACACAGGCACTCAGTTATCCAGCTGTCGATGTTAACACTTGGGAAATTGTTTAATAGCAAAGATCTTGAAATGTGGTCGGTCAGACATACAATCCACAAACAGACTTATCACCTTTGTTCCAAAATGAACATTACCCTATAATGTATGTTAACGGTAGAATCCAAATTCCTTTTTGTCTATTTGAAAGCAGACTGATTTGGATCACTTTACTCACTGAGAGCAGGCTGATAAGGGTTAAGTTATAACAATGCATCCATATCACTACAGTCTTACGTCTAATCTAGAAACGAAATGAATTAGTGATATGTTCGGACAAGCGAGAATATAATAAACATGATGTGATTATGAACATGTTGTGTAATTCCTGTTTCCGAATAGCGATGCTGACTATCTTTGCTTAATGAAACAGTATCTTTAGAATCAAGTGTCTTTTTATCATGTATGATATCAGTCGTCAACTGTATAAGGCATTTTATGTCGAGGCCATGGTGACTATGGTATACCGCCATTATTGAACAAAACGAATTGTATGACCTTGAAGTACGACAATACCTTTTTCCGTGTACGTTTGGTTTGGCCGGTATGTTTGGTTACTATGCATTACTCAGTAGAATTTCAGGATATAAATCTTATTGCCTGTTGTTCTGTACTGACCTGTATTTGGATCTTGTTTACACTAGTTGTCACTATTCAGTCTCATCAAATGTTATGAATGATAAATTTCATGCCAGTCAAAACCAGTATGCCAAAGGTGATTTGTAATTCCACTTTACTATAGATGCAACTTTCTTGCTACATAATATTTTCCATTTTTGCTTTTAAAATGTTTACATGAGTAAACACCGGGTTTCAAAGAGGGTTTTTGCAACAAATTGGCACTAAACCGCACTTGTAAAACTCACGATTTCATACTACAGTGGGTGCCAAAATCAAAGTGACATTTGAGAAGTAAAGAATGTCGACAAATCAAAATACCAAAATTACTATATTCCAAGTTTTACCATATATAGGACTATAGTCATATCCCTTACTTGGTGTCAATTATAACTTAAATTGATTTTTTTTATACTTAGACCTGTTATAAAACTTTTTTCTTCTCTATATTTCTTCAACTGCCATGCCACTGATTGTATTTTTGTGTGTAAATTAGGTTATATACCGTAGACTGTTTAGCTATTGATCCATGTAACTCGCTTCATTGTGTTATGTACAATACAATATATTTCTTGCACCTGGTTTCGCAATGTTTTAAGACAATTTTTGCTGTTTTATGCAAAAATGTAACGTGTCTGTGTAGAATGATGGCCATGCTCAAGCTACTAACTTTGGGGAAATCCCCAAACCGATGAGATTTACTAGCCATGGATAGTAGTTGCTTCTGAAGTGAAAACGTATGACTACAAATACGATATGAATAACAAAGTTTATCATTACCAATTCTTCAGTTGTGTGTGTTGTTCATTGCAATATAAGTACTATCTTCTCTCCGGTTGTTTGCAGCCATGGTTGATTTTTGCATTTCGCTGTTATTAATATACGAAAAACATATGAAGTGTTGTTGTTGGATAAATTTATGATAGCTTGACATTAATCTTTATTTAATAGTGACAATAACTCAATGTTTTCTACCGCTTCTACTTAGTGTGCGTTAGGTAGATAAAATTCTTGGCAAGGGAAATTTTTGTAGTGCTTGTTACACAAACTAGCATCTTGTTGCTACTAAGCTGTATTTTGAATGGATACATTTTATTTTGCGAAGTAGTCACTGATAAATATGTTTACGTTGTCATAATGAATCGTATCGTGTTTTTCTTTTGATGTTGATATGGTGGTCGGGCTTGCTCGTCGTGACAAACCAGTCGGGTTATACTGGCTGGAACAGTCGCTCCTCAAGGTCCCACCATGCCAGACAGGATGGTTGAAGAACAGTAAGAATAAAAGCAGAAAATTCAAGGTCCGAAGGTGAAGTCGTACTGCTGACTGTACAGATGTGTGACGGCAGTAAGTTGTTTCCCTCAGACGACCAGCATAATAGAGATGCTGCCTTCACACAAAGGAAGGGTGGGTTAGAATAGACCTACCCTAAAAATGCACACATCGCCATGTTCCACGAACATTCGTCCCCGGCGGTAAGGTCTCAACAAGTACGGAGCTAACACGAAAACTACTCACAAAAGGGTCGTGTGTGATTGACCTCGAGTAGTCCCTTGGGCCACACTTTCAGGTCGCTAAGACCACCTTTATTTCAGCGTCTTTCTCAGGTACCTCTAGAAAAACCATTCCGCGGTGTGGGTAACCGGGAAGTGAAAACCACTGTCATACCTCTAACAGCACTTACGATCACTGTATTCACTATCGATTTCCCTATTCAATTCCTATTATTCCTCCTACCCTGACTACCAACCCTAAACTTCCTCCTCAAGTGTCACCATGACCAACGATTCTAGTGCGCGATGTACTGGCCCAGGTGCACTGAATTCTCTCTCCAAAGTACACATTTGAGCCTTCAACGTACGTACCTTATGTCAAATCGGTCACCAGGCCTCCTTGGCTTAGAGCCTAGAATCTCGTACCATTGATGTATGTTATGTCTCCGAAACACGCATACATCAAGAAGATCCATTAGAGCTGAGCTCAGTGACGGGAAACTCGAAAGTAAATTCCATAAACTGAAGTCACTTAGGCAATTTTGGAAATGAGGTTGACCAAAATATTGCTTGTAAAGATACGAGCAGCTGTGAAAAGAGCAGCGACATCCACTAGCGATTTGAAGCAAAAGTTCACGAAAAACCAGTGGATTTCTGCAACATCTGTTGTACTGATAAACTCGCAAAATAATTCCATCAAGCTCCGAACACAATGATGAGCGAAAATAAATGAGTTCTAGGTTAGCCAAAAGTCTATGAAGCGATCGTGAGCAGTTGTGGGCAACGAAAGCAAAAGAGATGGAAAAGGTGACGACTGTAGGTAACACAAGACAGCTCTACACACTAATAAAAGAAACCTAAATTAAGAAGCCAATTATAAGCGAGAAAATCTCGGAAAAAGACGGTATTCTTATCTGCTCTCAGCCCAGACGTTTAGAACGATGGTCGGAACACTTGAAGAAATAGTTAAGCTGGCCTTCAACTACTCTACAGCTACCCACCATTTCAAAACAGCCTGAATGGAAAATTGAAACAGACCCCACCATGACTCTAATTGAAATTCAGAAAGCTATAGCGAATCTGAAACGAGGAAGAGCAGCTGATCCGGATAGATTATTCCATAGGTCTTTAAGAATGGTGATCCTGCTTTTGCGATCAGGCTGACTAATATTTTAGCTAAAATCTGGCAGTTGGAAGTAATCCCATCTGACTTATCACAATCACTGATCGTCCAAGTATATAAGAAGGGGTCGAAATCATCCTGTGATAACCATAGATGGATTAGCTTCACTAATTTAGCATCTTAAATACTACCCTCAATAATTATCGGCCTCCTAACAAAGACTCGTGAACTGCAAACACGAGAAAATCAGATTGACTTCAGACCTGGTCGTGGCTGCATCGACCGCATATTCACCATTCGTCAGGTTCTAGAACATAGGCATACTTATCGGCGTCCGACAATGGTGGTCTTTCTTGACTTTAAAGCAGCATCTGACTCCGTAGACCGCGAGATTCTGTGGCAGTGTCTGCCATCGAAAGGCGTACGTCAGAAGTACATAAACCTTGTGAAGGCTCTTTACTCGGACACTACTAATCGAGTCAGAGCTTATGGCGAACTGTCATCTGCTTTTGCAACCTCAAGTGGTGTCCGGAAAGACTGTTCACTACCTCAGTTTTCGTTCAGTTTTATCATAGGCCTGCTGCTAGAAATAACGTTCTCGTCGTTCGAATTTTCAGGAATCGATCTCCTACCAGTGTGTCCACTTATTGACTTGGAATACACACATGACATATTCGTGTTTGGTGATGACGCTGATAAAATTCAGAGTCTTTTGGTAACATTGAGCAACAATGCCAGGATGTTGGGAATATGTTTCTCCCCATGTAAATGCAAATTTTTGCTTCATGACTGGCCTGCGTCAACACTTGAACTAAAGATAGAGAGTGTAGTAGTCGAACGCGTCAACAACTTCATTTATCTTGGAAGTCTGACCAGCCCTAATGGGTTGGTTTCTAACGAAATCTCAACACGGATTCGAAAAGCTCGTTTATTTTTTGCCAACTTACGTCACCTGTGGTGAAAACGAGTTCTCCGTCTAACAATAAAATGATGAGTATTTTATGCGGCAGTTCGTTCTGTTTTACTTTACCGCAACGAAACGTGTCCATTAATAGTAAAAGATACTCGTAATTTACTAGTATTTGATTACAGATGTCTTAGAATTATTGCCAGCATCTGCTGGGAGCGCCGGCTAAGTAATAGTGAGATTAGACGCAGAGTATTCGGGAACGAAGATGAATCAGTTGGTAAGATTGTAAATCTTCATCGACTGAGATAGTTGGGCCACGTATTACGCATTCCCAACCACTGACTACCACGGTATGCAATGCCAACTAGTGTTGGAGACGGATGGAAAAAAGTTGGAAGCGGCCAAACCAAGACGTGGCATCAGTCCATAAAGTCACTAACTTCTGATCTGAGCCATGTTGGTAGATGCAGAATGTTAGGTTGTGGTCGGCACGACTATTGTAACCAATGGTCAGAACTCTGTGTGACATGGCTCAGAATTAATCACAATGGCGTAGGTGTATACACTATTCGTCTCCCCTTAAACCGTGAGATCAAAATTACTTTTCACCTTTCTTTCTACTATCTGATTTTTTCTCCATGTATCATATCTTGAAATCTTTTTCCACTATCATTGAAGTAACTGCTTCTCTACGAATTTAGTGTGCATCTTGTTGTGCTAATGATGTATGGCAAATTGGTCCGATGCAAAATATGTGGTTGGTCTTACTTTGTGGCTGACTGACTGTTGATGCAATTAATCTGCGATTAGTCTTGATAGTGAGGATATAGCTTTTCAGCTGACAGCATCTTAGAATAACATACGAAATACGGAAAGTAGATCTTGTGCTGTTTCTACTTTCTGTGTGCACTTTCTTGCTTCATAGTAGTAATTCTGACCAAATAGATCCAATTTTAATCTAATCCTACAAATATCTCACCATACACTTGCTTATTTTGCGTTAGCTTTGATAGTACTGTATTTAATATATTTCCTTAATATTACCAGTTAATTCATATTTGATTCACAGAGTGTCAGTTCCTGCATACCGAGTTCTGCTGGGCACCCCTGGCTTTCAGGTTAGTATTACGTTCGGACCCCTGGATTTTTTTGTCAAAGTTACCTACTGATTTATTTTATGAATTATTAGCTTTAAACGTAAAGTAGTGTTGTACACATTCGATTCTGTATATTGCGATTGCAAATCGAAATGCAGTAGTAAGTGAAAGCATTAGTTGATTTTTTTACCATGATTAGAAGCATGAATACTGCTAAATCTAAGGAAAAACGAACAGTCGATTTGTCTTTGTTACCTTGAAAAAAGTAGTTATTCTTAATTAGATCACAGAGTCTGAGATATGTGACCGGTGTTTTTTGTTGTCTCGGATGTACTTATCTTAAGTACATCTCCACTTGGTTTTGATCTAGTGTCTGATATCTTTACTTTTCCTGATTTTTACGCATTTATTTCCCTTGATAAACTTTTGTAAAGCAATAATAACGAACATTGTGTGATAAAGTAAATTCATTCCATTTTGTGTGCTTTAAGTCATCTACATATACATTAATTTGAACAAACAAATGAGATGTCTTACAACTGTAATTTTCTGTGCGATATGTAGAAAATTCTCTATTCTACTAGTGAAGAGAAATAATTATGAATACTTCCCATATTTATACAACAAATAGGTGAAGGGATTAAACGAGAGAAAGCGACCACGACATAATCTGATCTGAGAAACACGTGCAAATAATCATGACTATAGTAGACAAAATGGAGAGAGTGATATTTATGAGCGTAAACACGATAGTGAAATAATTATGACAGTAATGATTATAATATATGAAGAGGAAGGAGTCCGATGTCTAAATTGATAAGGACTAAATATTTTATTATATGGTGTTAAAGTATGTCTAGTTATGATAACCATGAATAAGAAATGAAAACTACTAAAATAAATAATGGAAATATTTTGATTAGATATAAATGAAGACAAGCAAACAGAATGGAAAAATAGAGAAAGTGAAGTGCAGCAGTGAACTGATCAACCTAGAAACTCCAGATGTACATAATTTGGGTTTTAGACGACGAATAGTCTTCACTTCTGCGTAACGTAGAAGTCTGTCGTTACTCTTTCCGCTTATTACTCGTAAGGCAATATCAAGGTCTACTGGATGGCCCATGTTCAATATATGTTCTCCGACAGCACTGCTATGTAGTTTAAGGCCATTCAAAATTAGATTTCTCGGGACATGTTCTGAGATTCTTTTATATAATATTCTCTCCGTTCTTCCGAAGCACATGATATTACGTGAACAAATAAACAGGCAGATTCATTTTAAGGTAAATATAAAGGAGCTTTACGCATAAAAGGTTATAGTTTTAACTTCAGTAAACACTGGCGGTTTTATAGTTCAGCTATTTCTGTTTAATGGGACCACTCAATCTATATTATATGCGTTGGAGGCCCAGATCAAAGTAGAATGAGAGCCAACATTCATTAAAGAATGTTAGTATTAGTAAATTTGTAACCCAACATTCTCTTCTTTTTTATTTCGAAACTAATCGTTTGATTTTAAAGTTTCTGTTTAGTTCTCTACACTCGACATGGGCTTCCTTGATTTATAGATGGTGTGGCACGTTTTACAGAAGTTGCTCAGAGGTGCGTCATTTCAGATGAGAAAGTATCATGTAAGTTGCCTGTTCGCATACAGTTAATCATTTGAACACTAAGTAATATGAGGTATAACGAATAATTCATTTTTCGTTCTTGAAATATACACGGCTGACAAAATTTTCCGACCGTGAAGTTTTTAATCCATCGAACCAAATGTTGTTCTGTGAATTATTGTTATCCAAATGATCTTTTCCTCGGTTTTTAGTTAGTTTCTATCGTCATATACCTTAATCAAGTTTTTCCACATACATTTATTTCGGCTCACTAATAGCTGAATATATAAACATTTACTTGGTAAATGTTCCATGACCAGAGTTGCTTCAAATGATCACTTATCACATGTATACAACAAAAGTGGATTACTGATTGGTGTTGAGGTATTTCAGTAGCCTTACAAATAAATTTAGGTTAGTGTGTAGTGAACGAGAACATAAGGGGGGATGAAATTACAGAACATCTTCGGAAAATCTGAGAACCATACAGTAAATATATAATTTGCAAAATGTCAACCAATTGTCTCAAACTTGACTGTTCCTTTTGCAAATGTCAGTCAGTCGTCTCAGACTTTATTGTTCTTTCGTTTCTACACTACTCATTCTTTGTTCTCGTTCTCTTTTCTTTGATCTCCTTAACCTCCTGCCACCAGACATTTCACTTTCTATTGATGACACATACTGCTTAGATCTATCGAAATCGGTAGCATACACCACAGTGAACGGCTAATATTTTCGAGCTTTATGCACATATCGGATAAATACTAGCCGTTCTATCTCAAAGTCATTTTAGTCAGACTAACTTTATAATAGTGAAAAACAGATATCTGTACTTATAAACTTAAGTGGTAAGCCTTTCCAACCATCTAGACTTTGGTAGGAGTCAGAAATTTGTGATCGTCACGCTCAGAGCGTTTTGATTGTTAGTCAACTCAAAGACAATACAAGTGTCTTTTCAATAACCTTGTGTACTGTTACAGTTGGCTTTTTTCAGAGAGTTTTGGCGGCTTATCTGTTTCATTTCACATAGATAAAAGTGTCATTTTGAGAGGGCTTTGTGTAATTTGATTCTAACAAGAATAAGAATACTGAAATATGATTTCTCAATTTCGACTGCAGGTTATTAACTTTTCGCAACGAATTGGGTGTGTGAAATTTAAAATAAGTAAAGAATAAGAATCACAGTTCACTAACTTCCCAAACTTTTCGACCCTAGTGTTCATAAAGAACACGATAAACTCTCGAGGCACATTAAACCGAAGTTTAATTGTGTCCTTGAGAAAGAGCACCAATGTCCTACAGATTCAGTCTGACTACGATTAATAGATGGATGGTACGTCTCTTACCTTTTAATTGCCATACCATCCGTCCCCTTAACTTGTCCACTGCAATCACTGCCTATCATAACTGTTTTTTATCTGATATTTTGTACCACATGTAGAAGCTTTGGATAAAATTGAACTTCCATGTTATTCTGTACTTATATCAGTTAGTATGCAGGTAAAGAGCCAAATTAAATATCGCCTTCTTAACTTCAATTTTATGTTCTCAAACAATCATTCTGTTGCACAGTATTTATAAGTCCTGTATTTGGTACGAATCCGTCTACTTGGCTTCAAGCCATACTATGAATGTAAGGAGCAGTGATACTACTCGGTCTCCCAAACTGAAGTAGGTGGAGCAGGTTCCAAACCTTCGACTGGGTAGCCGATAGTCGAATCCCTTAGTCACTAAGTCATTGCTCCATGATTATGAATCATGTGGTTATCAAGTAGGATCAATGGAGTGAGTTTATTTTTACCCGTAAATAATAAATTTTGTCTAAATAGTAAGACAAAAAACAAAGATCTTTCTTTATGTCATATTTATTTTATGGTAAGATTTCTGAACTAAGGAAGTGCTGAATTGCTTGTCGTAAAATCCTCGTTTGAATGACGTAGAATAATTCACCATTAGCTGTAATCCTTAATGTAGAATGAATCTCACGAACTAATTCTTTCTTCTTGTACTATATCCTTATATGCAATCTTTCTTTTATATATTACCACTATTGAATTTACTACTTCTATGAATTTGGTGTTCATCTTGTTGTGCTAATGAGTTGTGGCAACTTGGACCGATGCATATATGTGCCTGGTACTACATTGTAGCTGATTGGTTGGAATGTTTGTTTATTTTTCAAGACAACACATAATGTGTATTCAGATAAGTGTAACCACGTAAGGCAAAATAATCTTAGTCTAATATCTCTACTATTTGAAAGTAATAGAAAATCATACTGTTATCAAAAATATCTGTACACAGACTAAAAAACTTTTCAAATGTATCAGCACAGACGGTAATCGAAGAGGTAGTTGCAAGTTGCTGCGATCTTGTGGAAATATAAGTTTGTACTTCTGTATGCAAATAATGATGCCAAATTTTTTCAGCCCCTCATTCTTGACTTCACTTATTCTATCACTACTAGGTTCTGGAACATCTACCGAACACAGAAATAATGGAGACTGTATTAAGCGCTCGGAGGTAAATTATTTGCTTTTATAAGTAGGTTGGTTTTAGCTTCGATTATCCACATTTATTCACTGTATTATATATATATATATATATATATATATATATATATATATATATATATATATATAATTTAAGTCTCTTTCAACTCTACCCAGTCACAATGCGTACCTATACTCACATAGTTCTTATAACATAGTACAAGAAATATTGATTATTTATGTTCCTTTAATTTTTCCTAGTAAAAACCAATTTACCTCTTTTATTGATAGTTTTCAGTATGAAGCTAGAAAACTCGTGAACTGTTTATCAAATCAATACCAACTCTGCTATTTTTCGTTTCTCCCATAGGCTATTTACAAGACATTGAATAATGCTTTTACTGACCTTATTTCTGTCCCGACCTGTCAACCAAATTGGGAATACGATGTTTCTAATGCAGAGTATATAGATTTTCAGGAGGTCAGTTAAGATTTGATAACATTTCATTTCTTAAAAATATTCCTATGTGGTATTGATAGTTATTAATTATACCTTATTTTTATTGAGATAAAATCAAATCATTATTATCCTTATTATGAAATTCGTAGTTGTAAATGGTAAAGTCCCTTATTGTTCTTGGTTATCGTACGTTTCACAATATGTTGACTAAAATTATATCAAGGTAACTATAGTTTTGATACTTTAATGGATTTTTCGCATCATCGTTGGTTATTAATTTTTGTCGTGCTGTTGATATGAACCTATTAAAAGAGTCTTTCATCGCATTCGATGTCATTTAGAAATACGTTTTTTCGGTTGCTTACATATATATATCCTTTTACTGACCTTTTTTACTGCTAATTATAATGTAAATTGGTTTTGTATAGCAGCACGTGTCAGAGTTGTTCACTACTTAATTTTATTCACACTTCTCACAGATATTCTCCTAAAAGTGAGTTCTTGATTACCCAACCTTTTACAAACCACACAGCTTATTTACCAACTTCACGTTTGTGTTCCTGCTTTCGATCCATCCTACTTTTGTGACGACCAAAATTACTACCAAGTCTCCCAAACCAAAGTTTGGGTTTTAGTAGTAGTTTAGAAAAACATTAGAGGTGGCCAAACCAGCTTGCGCCATCTATTCATCAAGCTGTCGATTGTTAGTTTTCCTGGTTCGGTTTTTCACAATGATCGTAAAAATGTTTTTGGAGACCGTGAATGATGCGGCTCAAAATCGAATTCTGTAGCTTATTCTCGTCTTATTAACTAACTTTCAGTGTCCTAGTGTAAAGTGTACCAAGCTGAACCAATGTCCATTTATACCAGTCGCCATGTTGTTTATGACAGCAGCGCTAAAACAATGTATTTTACTGTGTACAGTCTCATTTGTTTTATGGTCACATTAATGAAGTTATAGAGGCATCTTGATTTCCAAGTAGTTTACAGATTGATTATTTTTTAATTACTTTTTGGTTTAGTTGCCTTTTATTAATGTGAATGAGTTCAGCTCTGTTTTCAAGATCATTTCATATTGTCCTTGATGTATTCGCAAAACATTTGACATTATTTTTTTGTGAGTTTCATGGGTACTTTCCTTTATCATTCTTAGCTGCACAGTGTGCTCATGTTGTTTACTATATTCTTTTATACTAGCATGATTTATTTGATGAGCAATATGAATAAATGCCGTTTTATTTGTTTGAAATCCACCCTTGCCATTATATATTCAATAAGTTCCTTTTTCACAGCTTCATATCTCTCTTTTTATTTTTTTAATTAGTATCAAATAGACTTGATGAAGAGGTTTTGTCATGTGGATGAATCTATTTTGATTAGCATAGCTGAAAATCTGCAAAAATGTTTAAACTCAACTCACTGTTCTCCTAACGGAAGTACATGGTTACTCCACTTATTCGTGATTGCATTTTTCGTTTCTTATGTAAGTTTTAACATTTTACAATGCATATATATATTTTGTCAACGTGTAAACACTGTTACTTTTTTAACATCTTGTTTGAATAGATTTTTGACAAGGGAAAAATCACTAAGTTCTCGACTATGTATAACGTAGAAATATTTCCATTGTTTACTTCTTGTAAAGTTTCGTTGTATGATTGTAAAGTTTACATATTGTTCAACGAAAAGGAATAGAAATTTCTGTTATAAACATCATTTCTTATAAATTAACTATAATATGCTACTTAATTTGATTTGGTAAGCCAATCAGAAGTACCTCGATGGAGAAAATCACCAGGAATAACCCGAATCCAACCTCACCCAAGGATATCTGCCCTGCTTAGCCAATGTTCAGAAGTAAGGTTCAGACTTCATTTGATAGCATGTTTCCACAAAGAAGAAGGCGAAATTATACACTCAAGGAGACGAGAACTGGACGTCTGTTTCGTAATGGATTACCAGTGGATGTAAGAAACTTTCGACAATGGGGGCCTGCGTAGGTATCGGGTGTCATTGGAAGAAGAGTCGATGGCATGTATAAAATTGATGTTCGAAGTAAATGGGTGACGCTATATGTAAACCACATCCTCGTTAGATGACTAATTCCGGATGAAGAACCGCCTAGCTGGAACTTGCTGCTTGATTACTTAATTTATACAGTTAGTCTGGAGCGACAAGATAAACGCATAAAAAGTGATAGTCATAACCCAAGAAGATCATCAAAAAGACGACGTTTCCCTGAACGCCTTCAATTAAATCCAAGGAGCAAGACTTATTTTTCAGGAGGGAAAAGTGATACGGTAATCCAATCAAAAGTGACCTGAAAGACAATTTCATTTCATGAACTAAGAAATGTATTAGTTTCCTAAGGGGTAGAGTTGTGTATATATTGGTGAGTATTCGTGCATTTTATTTGGTAGCCCAATATACTTTCTCGCTCACTATTGTAATATCGCGCAAGTAGTCAGCTCGGGGGGAAGGCTAGCGCGTAGCACATTGTGTATCAGTATCAGATTTTGGGCACCGCCCGTCATAACAGAATGTTCTTTATTAATGATTATCTTGTTTCCCCAACCAACATTGTTCTGGGCTTTCCTTTACAGTTGCTATCAAGTACTGTTTATTCTTTCGATGTCTGTCTTAGATTCTCGGCACAATGTGTTCTTTGAGCTGTATGTTTTCCTTTCCCTTTGAAGACTATAAGTCGAAAAAGACAGCCCGGTAACCAAGTAAACGAAGAGTGTCGAGACGGCAGAATCAAATAACATACCAGCTGAAGCACTGAAGTTAGACATAGAGGTAATTCAAAATAGGATCCACGTTCTATTCTGGAAAGAAGAACATGTGCCGACAGACTGGAAAGAAGGATACCTCATAAAGATAGGAGAGAGTTCTCAGCAAGTGTGAGAACAGCAGAAGTATCACACAACTATCAGTACCAGGAAACGCCTTCAACAAAGTGTTGATGAAAGATTCAGTTGGCGCCCAACTTTGAAACGAACATTCTGGCATTTGTAAGGATCATTCACATGTCGACTAACTAGAACATTTGTTATGTATTGCAAACTCTATCAAAATGCATCTCTGAACATCATACTTCGCTATTAAAAGTATTTTTGAAGCCAGTTCCCCGCAAATATTGGTCATTTTACTTCACCGAAATCCTCCAAAGCTATTCTTAGACTTAAACAGAATGTTTCGAAGGAAATTACATCCAAGAATTTATATACCACAGAGTTTAGGGACCAGTTGTTTCCAGCCTAGTTTCTGTGTATTAGAGCAATATGTTCTATCCCTTAGTTAATTTTATCTCAACTTCCTTCCTATACTCTATGCAAAAATCTATTTTTAGTATTTCTTCATAATATGTGATGAGCCATGACATGTAATTATTCTGTTCTTTATATTCATCAAACGAACAATTATCTCTCTTCTGCATAATATTTTTTCACATTACTCATTAGTCAATCGACCGTTAAATAACTTCGTTTTTATATTTGGTATTCCCAAGTAATTTGTGACAACGTTACATTCACAATATCTGAATATTCTTCAAGTTGTAATATATGATCTGCTTTCATCTTGGTCTATTATGTAACTTTTAATGATACTTGTAAGAGACTTTCAATTACGTCTTAAGTGATGCCATATTCTATACAAGAAAGAATTCATCAAAAAACGATTGTCTTTGTTACTTCTTCAATTTTAAGCTTGTTAAAACCGGAAAATAAACTATGTAGCGTAAAATTTAGCGAAATTGTATACGGATCTGATTTGATGGAAATCATTGACCATATACGGTTCTAGTCTATAGTCAACAACAAATTAGACGATCTAATTAACTAGAGGTGTTGTATTTTTTTTAAAAACTAGGTTGTATAATTGTACAATTTTGATTGTGATAATGAAAAATATCATGAAGTAGACGCAACTCGAATCAAATTTATCAGAGCATGAATTAATCGATATAATTATGGTTTCCGTTTACTTTCCTGAAGAAACAAACACCAAGCTGCGAAACTAAATTTTGGAATTATTTTTAACTCCGATACTTGAGATCTTTACGAATATAATCTATTTTCTTTTATTGCATACTAAAGTTAAGCAACTTGCTTATTCATATCATACTACACTATACCTATTAAAAGTTGTAGTTTATTGTTTATCCTCAATTCTTCGTTTGCGAAATCAATTAAGTAATGAGTTTCTGTTTTGTATAATAAATATTACTTTAAAATACGGAAGATGATATGTAGCCTAATTGTTTGAACTCGTCAAAACAAGTTCAAATAAGTGTTATTCAAAATTATAACATTTTGATTTCATTATGAAATACTAATAAAGTTTACTTCATGTAACAGATATGTTTTCACAGTATTCAGAAGGGTATCATATATTTTCTTTTAACTACTTTTAAATATCGGACTGTTCAATCAGTAATTGTTATAATAATAAGTGATTCGGATTTTTAAGTAATTATTTTTATCAATCATTTAGTTGAACACAATCTTTGAAAATTAAGTATATTTTGTACTAAAAGATAAGAAATATCTCGAGGTTCAAAGACAGTTACTCATGCGTGATCACTACTCATCCCGACCTGTTGCAGTGTAACAAAATTAGCGGTTGAAAGATCAAGACATGAAATTAATCAATGAAACCACTGATTAATGTTGTTGGGTACAGACGTCCTGGTTGAGATCCAAGCTGTACTTGTAACCAATGTTTTTACGCATTGGAAGGCATGGCGCAAATTCTGTCACAGTGAAACAATTGCACTAATTTTTCCATCTTTCTCTAAATTTTAGGATTAATAGCATTCCTAACTCTTTCAATTGATGTTCCTTTTGAATTATATTTCTCATATTTACATTTCTACTGTTTACGATACTACTCCACATCCTATGCTTTCTCACCTAGTTAAATTTCTGTTGTTGTGGTTGTTGCTAACATTGAGGTGTAGCAACTTGTACCTTTACGTACTCATGCCAAGTCTCTGTTCTGATAGTAATTGGCTGAATAGCAAATAAACATGTGGGTTATCAAGGATATAATACAAAAGTAATGCGTTGCAACAGTCTGCTGTTAAACTGCTCAGTCACATTTTTATTGCAAACTCAACATTTAAACTATTTTCATATTTTAAAATAAATTTAAGTAAATTCTAGTTTTTATTTGTAAAAAATTTAACTTTTTCATTAAAAAGATAACTTCTAACTAACAGAAACTTCCATTCGGCTCCTTCAAAAAGTAGTATTCAATCTTCGTGGAAAGACTGAAACATTGAATTAGAGCATCTATAAATTAAGTATCAGCTCTTTTAATTCAATAACTGTCACTGTAAAATATAGGTACTTTACTAAAAGATACAGGTTATTTTCAATATACACAAATATTTTTAATTTTGATTTCATGTAAGTAGATAAGAAGATTAAATTATTTTACAGCCCCAAGTTGTATATTTCATGGCTCAAAAGTTTGTACTTGTACTCAATTAGTTGCTGATCTCAACAAAACTCCGACGTGAACATTTGGATCTCGTGAATCAGTTATAAGTCTGTGACTTGTCTGATTAACGAGTGACCGGATTAGAATAGCTAATAAGTGTTTATCACTGGTTATAAGAATTTGCAACCCTGTAACTATATACAGGTTTGTATATTCGGTTTGGAGCCACGCCACCTTATGAAGATTAGTGTTACTGCAATTGCTTAAGTCATATTAGGTTTAGGGATATTTGACTCCACTACTTGATGTTTGAAGCTCAAGTACTGTGGCTTATAAGCTAACATTCATCACCGTTAAGAAGCTTTTCATCCAGAGTATGAAATTACTCACTAGTTATTAAGTGAACGGTTATCTAGTATGTTCTTAATTATTCTCATATTTAGTTAAAGTTGGTATTCAGTGATAATATAGAAAATAGCTTAACCGAATTATACTTAAACAGCTGTTTCGAGTCTTGTAGGTTGAGCAAACAAAACTGTGTTCCTAATATACAAAAAGATATCATTAATTCACTTTGAATCATGTTTTTATTATGTGACATGATTAGCTTCTTGTAAATAAAATTAACATTGTGTTTTATTTAGCTGTTCCCATGACATGGTCAAGTCTACACACATCTATAGATTCGTGCTTTTTAGTTTTCTATATTTAACGGATAACGTTTTACTTTATTGTTTGTATAATTATGTATTTGATTTTTGTTTTACTCAATTACTTTTCATTTGCATAATAAGCACCATATTTTGTCATTCCGATTTTAGGTTCAGCATTTTCAAAAACTCCCCTCACGGAGCTTGATGTTGTCCATTTTTGAACTGTCTCCGGACCCGATTATTTCTCATCAGTTGTATGCTTCACTACTCCCTGAAGTTTTATCTATTCTAGGTACGTTTACGGAAGTGAATATGCCATACTGCCATAGTTTAACTTATGATCAGGGAGGCAAGTCAACCTCTGAAGTTGTTTAAATATATGCATTACAGCTTTGAATGTATAGTTTATGTATATCTTCATCAACGTTTTCAGTCTTCAACATTGGCTTCAGTAAAAGTGAGAGTCTGTTGTAGAATCTTGGGGATGGTCGAAGTAAAGTATAAATAACTTGATATATATATGACTGTTAATGCTAATTGCTTCAGTCGATCTATCACTGTGACAGATTTTAAATTCTCAAGTCAATTATTCTGCATAAACATCTACCGGTTAATATTTTCTGAATTAATACAATAAATGGTATGTTCCCAAGTTACTTAAAGACTTGCTTGGTTAATCAGTCATGCATTCGGATGCCCTTACAAAATGTAATTAGTCGATCTCTTCTGTTATGTTTAGTATTTTCGATCTTACACAGCATCCTGAAATCTCATATACAGCTTACATATTTTCTTCTGGAGCATTTAAACATAAACCAACAACTTCAGTTGCTCGAAGATTCACGATAAAAATTTGAAATCATAAGAACGTTTGATATCCGTTTATCAACAGGTTTGCATGATAAATCAGTTACCTGATAAGTAAAAAAAACCCTAGTCTTTAAGAGTCATGTATCACTCATTGAGATTTAGGTGTATATCCATCTGCTCAACTCTTAAGAAAGTGAAGTATAAATCGTGAGTTCCATCATTAGTTGCTACAAAGTATTTAATTCATTGTAAGTGATTAGTTAATTAGTTCTTTTATCGATCTAGTGTATTTTAATTCTACTGTTTAATAATATTTTTTATAAACGTTGTAAGTACACTTTTTTCTTAAACTGCTTACTAAACGCATCTAATTTCTCAAGTTTTGTCTTGTTTTCATGTGGTACTTTCGTTTTGTTTTTCACTTTAAACATCTCAGCCGTATGCTTGTCCATCTAATGTGTTTTTGTTTTTAAAGAGCATTTTACTCCTGCAGTCAGTTTGGTTATGACTATCTAATTCACTGTTTAGTCAGTCAATAAAATCAATGGTTGTTAATATTGACTTGTGCTTGCTTGATACTTGCTTTGTAGATCACCGTCAAGGTGAATATATATTGAACTTCTTAAAGAACTCTACTCCTTCCAACTGTTATACACTTCTTTGGTAAGTTACAATGATGGAAATGTTATTTTCGATCTGGTAAAAAATAAACCAACAATGCTCATAGGATTTAAGACAAAGAGCAATGATATATGCGTTTGATTAATGTTTTACAACAAAACAGACCTTAAATGTTTCCTGTTAGAAGCAGTACTACCGACCGAATAAGCGTTTATCTTCCACCCTTCAGAGTATCTTTTCAAAAACGTTTCATAGTTATGTCATTTTTTGCTCACTATTCAACATTCGATCCAAAGTGCTGTAAGGTTTTAAACCCCCCGAATATAAAATATTTAGTTCAGTTAAAAGATTTTTGTGGAGAGTAGCTCTATTTAAAGATCTATTGTCACAGATTGATTTAGACTAAAAGTGAAGTAGTTACTACCTCCCAATGACATTTAACATCCTCTACTCTTCCTTACAAATAGATTGAATTTTTAAGTGTTGAGCATGTGATTCCTGCTCAGTAGCCTGATGCTTTCTCTTTTTCACGGTAAGAATAGAAGTCCTTAGGTATAGTTTCTGGGAGGCTGTGGGTTCACTACACTGCAGAGCCCCATACCTAGGGTGGGACATTGTTCAAATGTTCGCTGGTTCCAAACGGTTCCGCAATTCCTACAGAAAACCATTTTTGAAATAAAATATCAATCTGTCAGCAAGTTTAGCTGTGGATTATGTATTTTGATCAATGTTACAGCGATGTTTCTTATTTTTTGGTTTTTTAACTAGCTAGGAATCCCAACTAACTACATTATTTGCTCACATGCTTTTACAAAATAAAACATATAGCCAAGTTGAATACCATGAAACTGTCTGAGAGATACGAGGGTGGTTGGTATATTTTTCTTTTTGTTTGTCCTGTGGTAGAACTGAATGCAAGTAAATTAAATTTCATTCACCTACATCAAAATCTCTCTGTTTTATAATCCATTTTCCTGCGTATAGATTATGCACTGTGAAATCTGTGATAGCAGAACTGAAGTTTGATATCCATTAATCATTGTTATATACACACGAATTGTGGATATTCACTCATATTTTACATCGAAGGCCTACTGTAATTTGCGAACATACTTTGATTTTATCAATCAAGATGCCGTGCATGTCGTTGACTAATATAAATGATGAGCAAAGATATCACCTTACTGTGTAAACTCTACTGGACTGTCTATGGGGATTTAATGGTTGATGAAGAGTAATCATTGGATACGAAAGTAATTAGCTCAAGTAGGATATATAACTGAATAAATCAATAATGAACAAACGAGTTTCAAAACACTAGGCTACAAGATTCATAATTGCTTTCCCAGTATGTTATGTCGTAGTAAGGTTAAGAAATATGGGACCTAGTTTGTGATTGCCAAAAATTATTACTTCTAACACAACCATTGCACTCATTTTTTATTAACCCAAAGTTCCTGTTCAACAATAATTAATTGATTGACGTTGAATAATCCAGGAGTCAATCCAACAGGTTTATTCATGTAATTTGTGCCTGATGAATCAATAGGTTAATATTATGAGTTCTAATTTATCCGCTTACAATGACTAGAGTTATTATTTTTCACAAAATTGGCTTGCTTTTTATCGTCCACTTTTAGTTGGATGTAAATATTTTCCACCAAGTGCTTAGGTATCATTGTCTTAAGATCTGGTCAATATAAGTCGTTTAGTTGACAAATATGTTAATTGAGGCAACTGAGACTTTTTATTATCGTTTTAATATATAGGAAAAGTCAAGGTGTTTAAATGTGTTTTTCACTTCACAAACATTAGATCACACTTCAACTAGGCCTTTCTTGACTATAATAGTTGATCGCCTTTATTATTTAATTGTTCTGGAGAGCCTCATATGTCCTAGTAAGTGGTGGTCTATACCACTTTAACGTTTATATTTAAAAATGGCTTGTTATTTTACGGTCGACTTTTGTACTTCAACTCAGGTATACAAATCATCATCTAGGTCTGATTGCATAAGGCACATTAGAACTTGTTCTACTGTGTGCTTTTTTAAATATTAGTGCTGAACTTATATAAAATTAGAAGACTATGATCATTTGGTGCTGGGTATTTTTTCGGGTTTAAGCCATATAATTAATAATATTAAAGTTTCAATATAGGGAAAACAAATCAATGAGCTTTTATCTCCTCAGGAATTTGTGTTAAGTTATGGAGGAGGCCAAAACTCCCAAACGACGTGTTTTCCAGTTTTCAATTTATGTAGTTGAATTTATTCACACCAAAGTTCTTTACTGGATGGATGCTTCCTTTCCATCGCTATTAAGGACAACTTTGTTTACAAATAATTTGTTGGTCAGTTAGTATACTGCTTTTGTTTTACGTTATTTAGTTGGTCACTGGAAACATGTGTATACGTTAGTGTTACGTGCTTGGAAAACTGTTCTTTTGTGTATGTAAGTAAATCTTTCCAGAAATATTTGTCTCCTGAATTAACTGGACTTAAGAAGATGAAAAGAGAATTGTTTATTCAGTTTATCCGAAATGAGCTGTAATATAGGCACAATAAACTTTTGCTACTCAATGACGATTGTCGTACAAACTTAATATCTAATATTTTCGACTAAATACAATATAACACAAATATTTGCGTAGTCAATGATCGATGGTTTATATCATACGCGTAATTGTAGGTTTCATAGGTCTGAAAGTTGTAAGAGTTTATTAAAGACCTTAGTTAACATATCTCAAATTTAGTCTCATAGTCTCTAATATATAAATAAATTTTATTTTCTTAATCATAAAGTTTCGATTATTTTATAAATGTCTGTTTTCTTCTGGTTAATTTCAAATAATAATACCTTACTCTTCTTAATAATTAATTATTCCTTTACTAAAGAAAAATGTAAGTTCTATGGTTGATTGGAATTTTTCATTACTCAATCTTTATCTTGAATGTATTCAAGTTACCAATTTCTTATTGCATTATTGAAATGAAAAATGAACTAAGTAACTATATTATATGTAGGAGAATTATAGACGATTACTTAGTTGATATGTAATTCATGTTTTAGAAATTTTCCGCTAGTTTCTTTTATCTTTGATGTAATGGTAAAGAAAATCCTTTTTTTTTTAGAATAATGATTACGATTTTCATTATTATACAAATTTAGATTGTTAAATAACTTTTTATAGTTACTTTCTTTATCAATTTTTTATATCTTAACAAAGTAAACTCTGTACCTTGGATTCTAATTGGCCAATCGATTCATATTCCGTCCTGGAATTTCTTTTTGATACAGTAAGTATTGGTCGTTGATCCATAGTTTGCATGTTTGGAGTGACTATTTCTTTACAGTAATCACTAAAGGTTTTTATTCAGCTTGCAAAGTTGTTTATTAACGTTGGTTAGTATATTAGTCTAACGCTTTTTTCCTTGAATGTAATTAAAAGATAGTTAACCACGTTGATCTATAAGGAAATGTTATTTGCTAGAGTTCGTTTAACTTTCTATATTACTTTAAACCCCTGAATAAGTAGTGTTTAAAACAGATTTTGTTGAGAACAATTAATATCTTGAAGTTGAAAACAGTCGATATATACTTATTCACGCTAGAAATTCATGTGAAAACGATAATGTGAGAGCTTATACGAAAGAGAGAGCTTGTGTTCATGCTATCAGAAGTAAACGTCACATTAATTTGCTTATTACATAATTATTAGTTACACTGAGGTCTCTTAGAGTTGTCTTTTAGAATAATTACGAAACATTCACTGGAAGTAGTATTAACAAATTCTAATCTTCATCTTTATTAAGCGTTTCTAGATCCTTCTTCTTTCTACTACTTAGTTTCGTCTTTACTTATTCGCAGAGATACTTTATCAGTTTTTCCAGTTGTGCATAACTACTCACACTACGTTCTATCATTATCGACGTTCAGTTAAGGGCAAATAACTTTTTGGATGAAATTCTTTGCTTATCGGTCATGAGTTATTCACTGCAAACCTTTTTGAATTCACATGGGTTTTCTATGCAGATAAATGTCTTGTTAATTTGATCATATTCATTTACTGCTACATGTTTTTAAATTATAAATTTATTTTTATGCAATGTATTATGCACGCATGAATCATTCGGCCAATTAGTTATGAAAGACTGTTATTTTCGTATTAACCAAGTGAACGTTACTTAACAATATTATAACTTGTGGCCTTATGCCCCTATCAATGTATATACAATGCAATGACGTCGCCAATTAGATAACAGTGGTTTATCGACCGGACCAATGACGCCTAAGCCCGTCAGAGCAGAGTTCTTATCGGTCCTTATTCCTGCCTAGCCGTGCTCGGTGAGTTCAAAACACCAATCTTAGCCTCTGCGATATGAATCATGTATTCCAAACATACTGGGCTTATATACAAACCAAACAGACTACATCGCACCACAAAATAGAAAACATTTGTACAAGATCTAGCTAAAAGTGACTGTGAATGTGGGGGACTGTAATTAATAGACTGGGCATAAATCGAGAACGGTAAATCGTATAATAATAGTCTGTGGGTCAAAATAAAACCTATAATAAGAGGAACATGAGTATACATAGTTTAGCTACTTAACAATTACACAATGAAAATATATGTATCATATTGGTTCATAAAGAGTTCTCAAAAGGTACCATTCATAATTCTCGGGATATAACAAGAACATACGCATGCCTGTTACCCCTCGTGGGAGAATAGAATGCTTAACAAGATTCGACAACCAACTCTGTCTTTGGCCTTCCTCTTTTCTGTTTACCTTGAGGATTTCAAGTTAAGGCTTGCCTCGTGATGCAGTTCGATTATTTCCACAATGAGTGTTCTATCCATCTCTAGCATATTTCCCTAACTTCCTGTTCAGCTGGAAGTTGGTTTGTTCTCTGCCACAGTAGGTTGTTGCTGATGGTGTCTGACCAACGGATCTGGAGTATCTTGTTTAGACAATTGTTTATAAATAACTGTACTTTTTACGATGTTTATATTTGTTCTGGACGTTTCCGCCCTGTACAATAGAACTGTCTTGATGTTTGCATTGAAGATTGTGACTTGGATGTTGGCTGATAGTTTTTCTGAGTTCCATATGTTCTTCAACTGTAGAAATGGTTCCCTTGCTTTGACAATCTATGCCTTCATATTTGCATCAGATCCTCCTTGTTTATCAATGATGCTGTCCAACTTCGTAAGATGTTGCACCTGTTCCAGAATTTCTCCATCAAGTATGATTGTGTTAGTGTTCTCTGTGTTGTATTTGAGGATCTTGCTCTTTTCGTTGTGTTTTTGTGAAAGCCTACTGCTGTAGAGGCTGTTGCTACACTGGCTGTTTTCACCCGAATTTGTTGATGTGGACGGAGTAAAAGAGCTAGGTCATTTGTAATGTCCAAGTTGTTCAGTTGTATTCGAGCTGTTCACTGTGGTCCATGCTTGCTCTTCTTCACTTGCTTGTTTGCTTCTGTGTGAGGGGCATTTTCTCCTTCTTGATCAAAGTACAGCAATATCTCTTCTGAATTCAACCTTTACCGTCCAGCTTGGGTCAAGTGCGTTTCACTTATTCCGGGCACTATAAAATTGTATCTCCTCATTCCCGTAGCTATTTGACTCGTCCTCCTGGTCTTACATTGTCTGAACATTTCATGTACCCATATTAATTGTTGCATTGGTTGTTAGAAGGGGTGTCGGCGTCATGACTCTCGAAGAATCTCGGGTTTCATCATGAGGCGTCATAATTCTTCTAAAAGAAGATCCTCGAACTGTCAGGACAGAGTTTAATTGGTTTAAATTTTTATTCTAGTTAGCTTTTTTTAGCAAGATTGTTTTCTATCGGATGAGGTTTCTGACCTCATCCACATTCCTTTTCTTTTACCCGGGCTTGGGAGTTAAGTGAACATTCATTGAAAGCAAATTAGGTTCCACTGCAATTTCATCTGTGAATTCTATTTTTCGAATAGAGTTTAACATTCAGAGTATATCCGTGCTGATTGTTTTCTGTTATGTGAATTTCAAATCTTTCGACATTTAACTATTCATCCCAGAAATGTAAAACAAAACACCTGTCTAACGTATCATAGTTTCATATCGCGTTGTGATAAAAACTATCTTAAAAAGTTCAATGCTCTTTCAAAAATGCAACACATCAAAGTGCGAACAAAATCTACAAGTTGATTCAAGGTTTTAAAAATCAATTCCAAGATTGGATACATTAATTTTACGCTTCCGACTTCTAGAATATTTTGTTACTAGTTGAAATTCTTTCATAACGTACATTGATGTTTTCTATGTTAGAAACTACATAGAACACTTGAATCTCTCTCTCTCTCTCTCTCTCTCTTATATATATATATATATATATATATATATATATATATATATATATACTCATGACAATTTTTCTGTTTTGTCTGATCTTATCTCATTAATGGAATAGGTTAACTATGTTCCTGGACATCGATTAATGATTTGGATCTATGGCAATATGTCTACCAACGTGAATCCCATAGATCTTTATTTATTCTCTCGATCTGGACTTTTGAAACTTCAATCCTAATTTGTTTCTATAACTGTCTTTGCGCATTGATAAAAATGACATTATAGTATCCACAGGTCGATGTTTTGAATCTACTCACTTTACTTATTCAATAATTGTAAAACTGTTATCTTAGATTTTTTTAAGAATTTATCCAAGGACAGTATCTTTGGAATATGCTGTGGAAGTAGTTAATTCACTACTATTCTGTTATGCTATTTCTTCATGTTTGTGTAGACGCTATCAGCTCTCTACCTTGCAACTAAGTGGATGTTAGTGTGTACATATAAACTATTGTTCCGTCTTTTGAAAATACATGACATCAATTTATGAATCGTTGCTTTGCCAAGTAGAAAGATTTGTTTGTCCAACGCAACAAATTAGATCTTATTTTTTATTATTGACCACCGTCACTGATTCTTACTAAAATGATAGTAAACATATCATGAGATAATGTATTCACCATTGAGCGATTGTGAATACACATTTATCTTATCTTATAAACATAAATATTACTTTAATTGAAACAAACAATTAATGAATATTGAGTGGTTTGTAAATATTTATCGCAATTGAAGTTCAATCAGTTTGTGAGTTGAGTGAAATTTTATCGTTTTGGTCATATTATATATTTTTACTGGACCATAATGGGTTGTTATATAATTTACACTGATCAATTGTTCTTGATTTATCTTCAATCAATTATAAGGTAACCGTTTCATTAAATTACCTTTTTACAACAGAAATAAAGTGGTTTTTGTCTTTATTACATACAATTGATACTTTTTAATGCAAGATATCAGTTTAATTTCACTCTCTTCCTATCTCGCTGTTTTTTTCTTAATCTCTATTCTCAGTGTTTAGCCTATGTATCTTCAACTCCAGAATTGTCTCCTAGTCAATTCTTTGTAGCTGTTGTGAATAAATTTTACCATGATGCTCAAAAAGATTCAAATCTTCGGAAATCAATAAAATTCACAAATATGATTGTTAAATTCTTACGAAATTATGCAAGTTATTACGTATGTCATATGAATTCTCTTTAGATTTTCATTTAAAACTAAAAGCTGTTTTCTGATTATTTTTGTCATTCGAGATTTGATTTATTACAGGTTGATGTATCAGTTGTTAACAGTAAGAAACAAAACACTCAAATTTAATGGTTTCTTAGTGCGATATGGACAATCGACTTCCCCCTATGTTGAATTTTTGGTTAAATTGTTAACCTTTCATCAATGGATCCAGTTCCAGTAAATAACATTTCTTTGCTAGTTGTTAGTTTAATGGAAATCCTAGTATTGGACTCCTCGGTAGTGCACATCCACGATCCTGCACGCAGGAACCAAACCTAGGACCTTTGGTCTTGTGCGTGAATGCCTAACCTCTGAACCGAAATCAAACGGTGTTAAGGTCTAGCTCCAACCAATTCAGGGTTTCAGTATTGGTCTAACATTGATGGTTTCATGATTTTAAAGAGATATTGATTAGTTAAGATACTCTTTGTTTCTCAATGATGAATTGTAGAAAGTTGGTCTATTGTATTATTATTATCATCTAGCTATTATTGTTGCATTTTATTCTACTCTATAATATAAATATCGTAGATGTTGCGCAACTGAATGACAAATAAAATTTTCAATATATTGCACAAATATAAACTCACCAATAATGCTAATACATTTTTCTTTCCTCTTATCAGTGTTTCATTCTCCTCAACTTATATCTTATTATCTTTTTTACTTATCACTATTTATTTCCCTGAAATGTTTTTTGTTACTATGTAATGTCATTTAGCTTTAATTAATTAACATGTTTTAGTTTATATATTCAAATTATTTAATAAATAAGTAGCTTATATACATATTAGAAATTCTGTGACTCAATATCAAATCTTTTTTAAATAATTCATTTAAACATAACCAATATATCGTATGTTCAAATTTTCCCAACATGAAATATGATTATTTAGGTTATTACTAATAAAAGTTTGAAGTAAATTTGATTTGATTTCATAATATTGTCTACTTGCTTCTAACCACTTCTTTTTTTTAAAATTTTATCATTTCAATTTTTTTACAGCCATCATTACACTATCCAGAGGAATCTCAAATTATTTTGAAACAATTGGCAAATGAGAATTCCACTTTTCTCCGAAATACATTAAACAATTTTGTTTGTTAGAAAAAAACTAATGTTTCTGTGTGAATAATTTTTGTACTATTTTATTAGAAAAATGTATCTGGTGAAAATGCTCATTGCTTTTTTTTGTTTTCTCTCTCCCCATTAATAATAACGATTCACATTATTGAATTCGATTCTGTTTATTTTAGCTTTTGATTATTCCAACTTGGAACAATGAATATTGGTGATAAATTTATTACTAAATTGTTAGATATGAAATTACAAAGAGAAAATGTATACAGGCAAGACTAATATTATTTTTAAATTACATTGAATATAGTTTAATTTTAATGTGATTCTGATTGTATTCTTGTAGCTTGACATATAAAAAACTGGTTACATATAGGTAGACATACAATAACTACTTATTGACAATGTATTCTACAACGATTGATTAATACACTTCTTGAAAACTGTGAACGGTTAGTGATTTATTATGAAGGAAAGAAATAACAACATTGTTTTGCACATGTTTTAACTTACATTTTTTGAATGTGCGCAAGGAAGTTAAAATTCGTGGATTTGTTTGCTTATTTTTTAAAAGTGGTCTTCACAAGTAGTATGCGTGTAATTTTAAGCAGTAACACTTCCTGTATAAAGGAATTTGTTTTGATAACAACTTTCAGTTAGCAAGTTCTGCTTTCTATCTACAAGACTTGGTGTGGTAAAATACCCAGTCTATGAATCACCAGGTGGTCGTTGAAATATATGCATACTATGAGTGGTTTGTTTCGAAAAGGAATAGAATTTAATCTCATACATTGGATAATGAATTTGTTTTAAATATCGAAGTTTGTGCTTGTAGACGTTAAAATATGTCATATAATAGGATTATACTATTTTCAAATTATCAGTTTCGTCTATTATATTCTATTGACAGCTTTAAGAGTTCACCATTTAGATGTGACTTTGTGAATTTCTGCAAAATAATTAACTCCTAGTATTATTGTTTTTAGTCATATACATCATTTTATTCAGTCGAGAGGTTATAATAGAAGCTTATTTTCCATCAGGCATTCGATATTTATTGATGTAATGACAGAAAACTTGAAAATTTTGTGGCTATAATGTAATAGTGCCTGTCACTGAAATATATACTTTTTATTGTAAACTCAGTCAAAATGTAATCTCTTATGTGATTTTTTGCAGAGGTGAACGCGTGTTCTTGCCTAATCCGCGAACTATTTATGGTGGTGAGCTCATGGCTCAAGCTTTAATGGCTGCCAGTAAAACCGTTCCTAAAGATTTCAGACCGAATAGCCTGCACTGTTATTTTCATGACCGGTGTAAGTTAATTAGTAATGCGTTTTGTAAAAATGTATCATGGGACGATTTTAAACCAACAGAAAAACTATTCAATAATGATGTAGTGGATTATTTTCGATATAATTCCTTAGGCTTCGTATATCAATCGTCTTGATAACCTTTATTAAATAAATCGCAACGGTGTATGAATTTCAGAAATGAACACAAATCACCGACTACAACTTATTATTAAAGAGCAGAGATCGCTAAGCCACAAGGTCATCAAGTTAATTCGGGCAGTATTGCAAACACGAGCGATTACAGAGACGAATCAAGAGTCGAATGAATTTTTATATATATATATATATATATATATATATATATATAGTGGTATTCGAACAGTAACAACTTGCATATTATCATGCATCACATGTAATATATATATAAGCAAACTTCAGCATGGGAAAGGTGCTAGGATGTAACAGTTTTTTAATCATCTATTATTTCAAATTATCATAAGTGGGGACCACTTTTATTGATTTTGTGTATCCACTTTTTCACTTTTCATACAAACGGGAAAGCATTTGACAATAGGTTTTTGCTACTTCAAACATCTTCACACTTCAGTAGACTGTTGATCCCGTTTGCATCAGTTATAATTTTGTCTTCGCTTTATGTTTAGAGAAGCTCAGAGTTCTAACTGGTTGAAATAATAAAAAAACTAGTATTTTCAAATGTCTTTGGATATAATTTTGTGCCCTTACTATAGTTGATTAACGTCCACTGACAGTGGTTTTCAGAAAAGATAACCTCTTATTGCGTACTATATAAATGCAGTAGATTTTAATTGTTTCCGTCCTTGACCACTTTTATATACTTTCTCGTAATTACACAAACCTCTGGCTATCTGTGCTTTACTGTTCAATGTAGCGTATGTGTTAGAATACCTGATGCTCAGTCACCATGTTTGTTATTAACGTAGAAAAATGGTTGTTTTACCATTATGATGCAACATGCATTTCATTTGACGTATGTTTTTACTGTCTTGACAGCTCACTGTTTTATTACCTATTAGGCTTCGACTAGAAATCGTAATTACAGTTTTTAAGATGTACTTGTATGAAATCCGGTGAAATAATTTAACTGCTTAATCATTGACTTATTTAGTTTTTTGTATTGAAAAATCTTTGTTTAATATGAAATTCCCGTTTTGTTTTTCATCAGTTCTATTTAACACAAGTGTACTTTAAAATCTACGGTAATGGTATTATATTTTTAATATTAAGAAAATTCAGTCAGCCTAAAACTAAGTTTTTCATTACAAACATCTATAATTGATACGAAATTAGCATAAATTTGTCAATATCTTTTTGATTTAAACAAAATTCACGGTGGATTTTCTCTTACTTTAAGCATATCAAAGGAAACAGTGGTGGTAGGGATATGTGCAACCTAAAATGACGGTTAATAATTTGTTTGTGGAGTTCTTCAACTTCCTAACATCAAATCCTATGGTTTGATTCGACTTTCTATTATCTGTATTCCGAATCGCGATAAATTCAGTAAACTGCTACTTGTAATGATGTGGCAAGTAGATTTAAAGATGTAGTCTTATTTTTTGTAAGAAGAAAGATGTTGGGTAGATCAAATGTATTCCTCGAAATAGTTCAAAGGGTCCCTGAAGACACTGTGAAACATTTTATTCCATCAGCATTGAGTAGAAGTTTCTCAGAAAAATCTAGAAAGTAAGGTCACGAGTCACATTTCTGACTGGATGATTACCTATCCTTCTACTATGTTTCGTATAGTTCCAGATTCCTCCAGAAGCCAAAGGCATTCTGAAATACTATAAATACCCTCGATTTTCTGTTTATGGACTAACCTTGGAAGAAAGCATCCTCTTTACATTTTGCGTTCTTTCTCCGTGTTCACATTGTCGTGTAGATTTAGCTTGAGGCTATTAGATTCAAGCGTCCAATTAAAAGACTTATCAGTTAACTGTCACATACCCGCCCAAAAATCCAAACTTATGTTTCTTTTCACTTGTTTTTATCACTGCAGAAACATTAGAGTAATGAATTTAGTACTTCGCCACGGGAAAAATGTTATTGACTGAGAAATGTCAGCGAGTTGATAGATTTGCGAAACGGTTTCTAAGATTTGAGTTACATAGTGATTATTCTTTTGCGTTTTCCGTCCAGCGTCTTTAGTTGTATAAATTATTAAATAATTCATGTTTCTCTCAACTATGTAATGTAGGTCTGTGACTTTGAGTTGTGGATGACAAAATATACGAAATTGATGGTTGGATATTTTCAGTATCATTTCTCAAAAATAACCAGTATATAATTGGATATTTCCTGTCTTTAGCTTTTGATTTTAAATATATTAATCTATAGCCATCTTTTTTTCTATAGTCTCATTTTCCTGTTGATTTGCTTTGATATTGTTTTTACTTTAAGAACATGCTTTTGTTATTCCATATCAGGGACTGGATCCTGGTTTTCTTTCATTTTTCTGATTTTCTGATGCTCTACCTTTCTTTTCAGCAAATGTACTTGAACCAAATGATTACCATGTTACAAAACTTCGTGACGGACGTTCATTTTGTCATAGATTAGTTGAAGCTTTTCCAGTAAATAAAAGTGAATCGGATTCAATTACTCCGTATTTTCGCATGGATTGTTCATTTAAAACACCTGAGAAGGATGCTGCATCCTTTTTGTCTCCCATGCCTAATGTTCCGTATGTTGAAAAACTCCAAGATTTTAATTCATATGTGAAATCACTTGATTTGTAAGTTCAATGTCTAAAACGTTTGGTTGCGATTTTACTTTTTCACTCACGTCTTTTACTCCTTGTGAGAGAATAGAATGCCTACCAAGATTCGACAACTAACTCTGTCTTTGGCCCTCTCTTTCCAGTTGCTCCCAACTACTATTCATTCTTCTCATGTCTGCCTCCGATTCCTGACTCAATGTGTTCTTTGGTCTTCCTCTTTTCTCTTTACCTTGAGAATTTCAAGTTAGGGCTTGCCTCGTGATGCAGTTCGATGATTTCCACAATGAGTGTTCTATCCATCTCCAGCATATTTCCCTAATTTCGTGTTCAGCTGGAAGTTGGTTTGTTCTCTGCCACAGTAGGTTGTTGCTGATGGTGTCTGACCAACGGATCTAGAGTATCTTGTTTAGACAATTGTTTATAAATAACTGTTTATATTTGTTCTGGACGTTTCCGCCCTGTACAATAGAACTGTCTTGATGTTTGCATTAAAGGTTGTGAGTTGGATGTTGGCTGATAGTTTTTCTGAGTTCCATATGTTCTTCAACTATAGGAATGCTGCTCTTGTTAGTAACACTAATAAGTTTACAGTTATGATTATATATGTGTCTTATTTCTCTATCTCTCTGTAAGTGAGGTCGGAAACTGGATAAATGTCCTTTTGATTCATTTAATACTAATGATTGATTTTCACTCATGGACCTCTGAAATACTGACTCCTAACTAAGAATAACTGGACATTGACATATTCAGGCCTGTCATGATTTTGATTGTACTAAGACTATCCTGCATTGTTTTCTTTGTACTATTTAAACTTGTATTAATTTATTTTCTCTGAATAAGTGGCTTACATTAAGTCACGAAATGTCAGAAATGCAATTTCGCTACTTATTGGGATATAACAAAAAATTTATTGCTTATCATGTTTCATTAATGTTTTTGACAGTATTTAAAAGTTTGTACTCGCATATGTGCACTGTATGTCCACAGCTCCCAATATAGTTGACTTGTCTGTATCGTGGCGTTCGTTTTTTCTAAATTGTACATT